GGACAGGCTCCAAAGCCACAGAGAAACCCTGTCTGGAAAAAACAAAAAAAACAAAAACAAAAAAAACAAAAACAAAAAAAAACAAAACAAAAAAAATCTCTCCCTTAAGCTACTTTTGTATGGTGATTTGTCACAGTGACGTGTTACGCCATTAATATTCCCCTCTTCTTGGAGGGAGAGCGTGGAGAACGGAGCTGCACTGCTCACTACCCACCCCGCTGTGAGCTAGCGGCCTTACCTCTGCATAAGTGTGTTACAGTTGTAAAACGAACACTGTTAGACGTATCATGAGACCCCAGGAACAAGCAAACATATTAAGAATGTCCACTTGGGGCCTGGCAAGTCAGCTCAGCAGGCAAAAGTGTGTGCCCTGTGTGGTGGTTTTAATAGGAATGGTCCCCTGGGACTCAGGTGTTTGGATGCTGAGCCCATAGGGAGTGGCACTATGAGGAGGCATGGCCTTGTTGGAGGAAGTGTGCCACTGTGGAGGTGGCACTGAGGTCTCCTATGCTCAAGCTAGGCCCAGTGTGGCTCGCAGTCTCCTGCTGCCTGCAGATCAAGGTGTAGAACTCTCGGCTCCTTCTGGAGCACCATGTCTGCATGGGTGCTGCCATTATCATGACCATAATGGACGAAACCTCTGAACTGTAAGCACACCCCAATTAAATGTTTTCCTTTGTAAGAGTTGTCATGGTCATAAGGTTTCTTACAGCAGTAGAATCCCTAACTAAGACACCATGCAATCCTGGTGACCTAAGTTCCATCCCTGAAACCCACAGTGGAAGGAGAGAATTGACTCCCTCAAGTTGTCCTCTGATCTCCTCATGTGTGCAAGGAATATGTGTGTCTGCACTCATACATCCAATAATCTGAGTGCTTTTGTAGCATGAGGGAGGCCTTAAGTTTAATCTCTAGAACTGCATCTTCACCACCACCACATTTGTTTCAAAAGAACCTCATTGTATTCAAGGGATGCCCTATGATTAACACAGCACAAGCCTACAATTGTAATCCCAGAGCACTCCAGAGGCTGAGGCAGGAGATCATGAGTTATAGGCCTGCCTGGGTATGAAGTCAAATCCTGTCTCATAAAAACAAAAACAGAAAACACAGAGCCAGGACTTGCTCATCACACACACACACACACACACACACACACACACACACACACTTCTGAACTGTCTCTGCAGGGTGGAAAGCTCTGTCCAGCCAAATCCTTACGGCCTTCCACCTGCTGCGAGGCTGCTGACCACGGCCCTGAATCAGCCCGGAAAGGCAGTCAGGCATTCTAGACACAACATAACCTCTCATCTCTGAGCCCCTCAGGATTCTCAGAAAGAGTAACAGGGAGTTTCCAGAACTTTCTATCCATGCTCAGGCCTTGCCTGCCATCTCCACACTCATTTCCCCACCCCACCCCACCCCCACCCAGAGTCAGTGAGCCACTCACTGAGCCACTTCCAGCACCAGACAAAAGAGCAAAACAAAGTTTGGCTGGACATTTCCTGAAGAAATAACTGCTGGGAACTAAAGTGCTTTGAGAGCAGGGTCAGTAATGTAAGCTTAGAGACAAGAGAAGCATGCATGTGATAGTCTACAGTGGAACTCATTGCTATCTGCACAGCGGAGTTTCTTGATGACGTGAAGAGGGCCAGTGGGTTGGTTCAGTGGGTGGAGGTGCCACCAGTTCAATCTCTGGGACCCACATGGTGGAAGGAAAGAACCAACTCCCCCAAAGCTGTTCCCTGACCTCCACAGGTGTGATACCCCACAATGCATATGATGATGTAATACATAATTTTTTAAAGAAAGAAAAATAAGTCAGGTGGGATGGTACATTGCTGTAATCCCAGTTTTTAAGAGATTAGGCAGGAGGATCATGAGTTCAAGGCCAACCTGTGCTACATAGCAAGTCCCTGTCTTAAAAGGATAAATGACAGAGCAAAATCCTGTCATTTTCAGGAATAAGGGTGAGGCTAGAGATGACAGTGTGAAGTGAAGGAAGCCAGGCTCAGAAAGACAAAGGCTGTGGTTTCACAGATGTGGGGTCCACATGACAACAGAGAGGGGCTGCTTGGAAAAGAGGGAACAAGAGAGAGTAATAGTGACTGACCAAAGCAGCACATGACACACATATATGAAAATGCCATGATGAAACATTCTCTCCCTCTCTCTCTCTCTTACACACACACACACACACACACACACACACCATCACCATCACCATATATGAAAATGTCATGATGAAACTCTCTCTCTCCCTCCCTCCCTCCCTCGCTCTCTCTCTCTCTCTCTCTCTCTCTCTCTCTCTCTCTCTCCCTCTCTCTCTCTCACGCACACGCACACACACACACACCACCACCACCACCACCAAGTCAGGGGTGCAGCTGGGGATGAGGCTCAGTTGGTAGAGTGCTAGCCTAGCATGCATGAATCCCTGGATCCCATCCCCCATCTTGCATAAACTGAATGTGCCTGTGCAAGCTGTAACTTCAGCACTTGGAGAGATGGGGTCATGAGTTTAAGGTCATCCTCCACTACATAGTGAATTAAAGACCATTTTGAAGACCATTTTGGAATCCATAAGACTTTATCTCCACGAGCGGTGGTGGCTCACACCTTTAATCCCAGCACTCGGGAGGCAGAGGCAGGTGGATCTCTGTGAGTTTGAGGCCAGCCTGGTCTACAAGAGCGAGTTCCAGGACAGCCTCCAAAGCCACAGAGACACCCTGTCTCGAAAAACAAAAAACAAACAAAACCCCTGAATTTTATTGTGTGTTTGTTTGTGTGTGTGTGTGTGTGTGTGTGTGTGTGTGTTGTGTGTGTGTGTGCACGAGCGCGCGCGCGCACCTGTGTGTCTTAGGGTTGGAGACTGGTATCAAGTGTCTCATTGATCATTCATTCTCCATCTTACAGAGTCTCTCATTTGAACCCAGATCTTACCAATTTCTCTCATCTAGCTAGCCAGGTCACTCCAGGGATATATGTCCTTGCCTCCCAAACTCTGGGATTACAGGCAGGTCCCCACAACCACCAACACTTCAGGTGGGTGCTGAGGATCTGAACCCTAACCCTCACCTTTGTACAGCAAACGTTTTACTGGCTGAGGCCTCTCCCTGTCATCAGTCTTATTTTTTGACACACGATCTCCGATGTGATCTCTGAACTCAATGGTTTAGCTATGCTGGCTAGCAAGCTGCAGGATCCTCTTGTCTCTCCCTGCTCAGAGCTGGGGTTATAGGCTTCCATATACTACTGTGCACGGCTTGTACGTTGGTACAGGGAATGGAGCTCAGTCCCTCATGCACCTTACTGACAGTTTTCCCTATGCCTGCCAGGGAAGCCTCCCCACGCCCCATGCCTGTCAGGGAAGAGGCTTCTAGGGGAGTCTATGACAATTGCCTCCAGCAAGGAATATATGGGGTTTGGAGCAAGCAAGAAAACATCCACAGACTTGACTATGGGTAATAAGAGTGGCATGTGAAGAGTAGAGCTGTAACAGAAGGGCTTGGAAATGGGCTGCAGGGAGCCCTGCTGGTGGACCTGCACACCACTCACCTGCCTGGGCCTGCTGAATGAGTCAGCACCAGCACCAGGTGCTTCCTCCCCGGCAGTTCCAGGGCAACCGATGAGGCCCCCGTTATTCACAGACCAAACCTCGACTCCCAGGGTGCAGTTTGGCATGCCAGCTCACTATTCTCTTGTAGCTGGCCTCAGTTCCAGACAGCCCCGGGTGTGCCCAGGTCAGGCCCTAAAGACAGGGCCCTCAGCAGGCAAGAGCTAACCTCCTGAAAGGACAGGGCTATCTCAGGAAGCTAAGGGGTGTGTGTGTGACTGTTTCTGAGGCCTAGCTACCTCCTGCAGAGTGATCACCAAGGAAATTGCAGAAACCAGTCAAAGCAGACTTTGAGATTCAGGAAACGTAATTTTCCTTCTCATTCTGAGTCCTGCTTTAAAAAAAAAAAAAAGAAGAAGAAGAAAAAAAAGATAGATAGATAGATAGATAGATAGATAGATAGATAGATAGGATTTATTCATTATTAAGTGTTTATGCATTGTACAAAATGCTGTTTCTTTTTTATTTTAATTTAATGTTATTTACATGTGTATGGGTGTTTGGCCTGCATGTCTGCCTATATACCACGTGTGCACAGTGCCTACAGAAGGCAGCACCGGATCCCTTGGAACTAGAATTACAGACAGTTGTGAGCTGTCATGTGGGGCCTGGGACTTAAACCCAGGTCCTCTGGAAGAGCAGCCAGTGCCCTTAACCACTGAGCCATCTCTCCAGTCCCTGTTGGTGTTTTTTCTTTTTGAGATAAAGTCTTTTTTTTTTTTTCCCCGCTTTTTTGAGAGACAGGGTTTCTCTGCGGCTTTGGAGGCTGTCCTGGAACTAGCTCTGTAGACCAGGCTGGTCTCGAACTCACAGAGATCTGCCTGTCTCTGCCACCCGAGTGCCAGGATTAAAGGTGTGCGCCACCGCTGCCTGGCAAAATTCAGTTTAAAAACACAAATATACTAAGTATAAATATACTAAGTAAGGTTAAGGTGTTCAGTGCTAGAGGAGACACCCAGTGTCACCCTCTGGGCTTTACATACTTTTGCACACAAGTGTGCCAAAAACACACTAAAACACACTAACACAAATAAATATTAAAAAGAAAAAGTAAAAAATAAAAGCAATACATCTAAATGCCCATCCTCTATCCCTCCACAGACTCAACATCTCTCCATCTTTTCTGGGCCCCAAGGCAAAGGAAAATTTTGCTGATGAAATCATGTTAATGACCCATATTGGCCCAGGTCTTCTGCCAAGCACGTCTCTTGCTGTGACATTCCTATGAAATTGACTGAATTCTTCCCAGTACCTGAAGTCTGGGCTGAACCTGGCCCCTGGGCCTCCTGTGTGACAGAAGACTCTAACTTCAGCACCTGCCTCAGGGCAGCAAGGACCTGAAATACCACACGATTTGCGTCATCTCTGTCCTAGATGTACCTAGACATCTAATGAAAAACAAAAACTAAACCCAAACAACCATGTCCTACAATTCTGATGCAAGATGGTTGCTCAGGGCTCCAGAGATCTCAAAAGCTCTTGGAAAAGACTCTGGGGAGATGGCTCAGTCTGTAGAATGCTCACCACATGAGGACCCAGATTTGATGATTGGCACACTCCTAAAAAGCAGGCAAGGTTAGCATGCAACTGAAATCCCACCACTGGGGAGGCAGACAGACAGATCCCAGGAGTATGCTGACCCATCAGCCCAGCAGAATCAGCAAGCTCCAGGTGGAGTGAGAGACCCTGTCTAATAAACGGAGGTGGCAGAGGCCTGGAGATGGCTCAGGGGGTAGGAGGGCTTGCCGTGCAAGCATGGGGACCTGAGTTTGATTTTCAATGCTCAAGTGAAGAGCCAGGCACAGCCGTGTGTGCTGTCAACTCCCAGCAACGCAACAGGGCATGGAGAGAGGTGGGCTCTGGAAGCTCAATGCTTCACCTACTAGGGCAGGTAGAGAGGCTGCCAAGAAGCAGCTATGAACGCCCCAGATAACTTGGCTCTCTGGCTGCAACATTTTATCTCTTCAAAATCTCCAACTTCCAGTAATTCTGGGGAGTCTTCGAGGTTCTGGCTTCTTCAGAGAGCTGTGGTCACAGCCAGATATCACCCCCTGTGTATCTGTTTCTCTATGCACAGGACAGTCAACCAACTGCACCCACTTCTAAGCACTGTGATGAAGAAATAAATAGTGGGTATGAAGCAGTGTTTGGCCAGAGCAATTGGCCCACATGTTTTAGCCATGGTTGATACTGAAATGTGGGGAAGGGGACCCCCAAATCTTAAAAATGTGTGAGTTTGGAAAATGACCAACACTAACAAAGGTCTGAACACCAATGCAGATTTTTGGGCACAATTTTCTCACTCTGGCATCAGTCTTTACTTCAACCTGCTTTTGCATACTGGGCCTGATTAATGTTAGGTAGGTGTTCTGTCACTGAATGGTGCCCCAGCCCCTCACTGTGGGATTCTAGGCAGGCGCTCTACCACTGAGCCACACCCCAGCCCCTCACTGGGGGATTCTAGGCAGGGGCTCTACCACTGAGCCACACCCCCAGCCCCTCACTGGGGGATTCTAGGCAGGGGCTCTACCACTGAGCCACACCCCCAGCCCCTCACTGGGGGATTCTAGGCAGGTGCTCTACTACAGATCCAGGCCCTTGGCCCCTTTTCCAGTCTTGCTGGACATGGCAAGCTAGGTTAGGAATCCTAGGGACACTAGCCTGTAGACCTCTTCTGTCTCTTCCACACATGGCTTCTTCAGTTTTGAGGTTTTCCTCCTTCCTGCTCTGCTACACCCTTCCTGAAGGTAAGCTGTGCCTAAGCCCCCAAGGAAGAAAGAGTTGGCATGGTGACATACCTGTAACCCTGTAGTGCCATCACTGGGGAGGCTGTGTCGGGAGGGTCAGTTCAAGGTCTACCTGGACTATATGGCTAGGCCTTGACCTAGAGAGAGAAGGGGGAAGAGAGGGGAGACAGGGAGTTAGTTGTCCTTTGTAGTTTTCCAGATAGTGGCTCTGGGCTGGCTTCCTCTATCCATCTACCCCCTCCACCCATAGAGTTATCTGAATTTCTTTAAAACCTAGAACTGTCTTCTTGGTCCCTAAAAGGCACCTGGCCACCGAGGTCTATGACTAGCCTGGCTTCCACACTTGGAGCTCTGTAGCCAGATAGATGCTCCTTGGGTCTGCCCTTGGTCTTGCTCTGATCCTCCTGACCTTAACTCTTTTTCAAAGGCATATCTATTTATTTTATTGGGGGGAGGGAGGGATGTGTACCACAGCATGCACGTAGAAGTCATAGAACAATTTTGGGGAACTGATTCTATCCTTGCATCATGTGGATTTCCGGGATCCAATTCAGATGGCTGAGCCATTTCACTGGCCCCACTGATCTTAACTCTCCTCTAAGAGTTCATCTACCTTGTGGCTCACGTGCAAGAGAGAACTTCTCCCCATGGTGTCAAAGCAAAGTCCCCTACCCGCAGCAACCTCCACCTGCTCAGACTCCATATGCACACCTGGAGGGTGGTACATAGCTGGGGCTTCCCCAGTGGGCTTGTTTATTCTGCTGAAGCAGGAAGGTCCTGCCTGTCTCCTGGACCTCTACTCTCTGGAAAAATGACTCTCCTCGGCTATTGTTTCCTTTCCGGTGGAATTTCTGCTCTTGAGCACCGTGCACCACTCCTCATGTCTCCATTTCCTCCTGTCCAGACAGGAGCTGGCCACCAGCCAGAGGCATTGGTGGAACAGCCTGGTGCTGAAGACAGTGAAGGACTGAAGCAGGAAATGGGGCTCCTCCATCACAGCCTCTTCTTTGCTGTCCACTTTGGGCGGTGTGTTCCCATGGGCAGAAAGTCATTCCCTGTGCAGCAGGGCAGTGTGATGCCAGGGAGCAAGCCTGGAACGGGCGGGTGAGGAAACACACACACACACACACACACACACACACACACACACACAAAATGTGTAGGCTTCGTTCTTCCACTAGTTTGGTACTTAATTTGGTGGAGAACTCTCCAGATGAAGGAGATGGTTGCCATGTTGATGCTCAGAAATTGTAACCAGCAACCAAGGGCACCATTTGGCAGAAGTTGGTCTACCCAACCCCAGCACCAAATTCCCATGGTATGCCCCACACCACACACACACATATACTTTTCTCTCTCTCTCTCTCTCTCTCTCTCTCTCTCTCTCTCTCTCTCTCTCTCGATCCTGCTCTCTCCCTCCCTCCACCCCTCCATCCCTCCTTCTCTTACTTATTTGAGACATGATCTCAATGTAGCCCAGGCTGGCCTCTAATTTCCTATGTAGGCAAGGCTGGCCTCTAACTTCCTATGTAGCCCAGGCTGGCCTCTAACTTCCTATGTAGCCCAGGCTGGCCTCTAACTTCCTATGTAGCCCAGGCTGGCCTCTAACTTCCTATGTAGCCCAGGCTGGCCTCTAACTTCCTATGTAGCCCAGGCTGGCCTCTAACTTCCTATGTAGCCCAGGCTGGCCTCTAACTTCCTATGTAGCCCAGGCTGGCCTCCAGCTCCCTAGTGAGAATGCCTTGACCTCTTAATCCCCATGCCTTTATTTCCCAAAAACTAGAATTACAGGGTTCATCACCATGCCCAGTTTATGTAGTGTTGAAAATCAAATCCAAAGCTTCTCCCATGCTGGGCAAGCCATTAACCGCTGGGCTGTATGCCTGGCCTCTTAGTTTCTTGAGACAGGGTCTTGCTTTGTAGCCTAGACTGGCCTTGAACTTAAAATCTTCCTGCCTCAACCCCGGGTGTGTTGGGATTATGGGTGTAGGCCACCATGCTGGAACCAGTGGGGTTTGTAAAGGTAAGGGAGAAGGAATGGATGCAGGGACAGGAGGCGGCTGGCTCCAGTCTTGACGCTCCTGTCCTGCCTATCACTTGTATGCTAAATTCAAAAGAGTCCCAGTCTGATTCCTGGCATACAAAAGGCACCCCAGGTTCCTCCCCTCTTCCAGCCACTGAGCAGAAGCTGCCTCATAGCTGCCACCTCAGCTCCCCTCGGCCCTGCAGCCCCAGCCCCTCCCCCAGGGCCCCCAGGAAAGCCATGCTTCAGTGTGAACTGATATGAATAACGGTTACTCGCCCTGCCTGCATCAGACCTTACTCATCCTGTCTGGTGGTTCCTGACCCAGATTGGGGAGCACAGCAGGGGTGCAGCAGAGACACCCCCAGGAAGGGAGCATAGTGAGTCTTTAGCCTTCAGGAGGTTCTGGGAGTAGGTGGGGCCACAGCAAGTACCAGCCTGAAGGATCTGCTTCAGGTCCAAGTTCCTTCCATAGTAATGATTCTCTCATCTGAGACCTTCAATTAATTAATTGGTTAACTAATATGCACACACTAATAAGTTAATTAATTAGTGTGTATAGATATTTGCTAGTTTGTTTTGGAGACAGAGTCTCACTATGTAGCCTTGGCTGTCCTGGGACTCCACGCAGACCAGGCTGGCTTCAATGTCTCCCAAGTGCTGGGATTAAAGGCATGAGCCATCACTCCTGGCAAACATCTGGTTCCTTTCCTGCTGTATTGGATACAGGTAAAGCCAGAGCATTTGGTGGCCTTCCTCACTCCAGCACTGACCCAGACCACCTCCCCTTCCTCTGCTCAGCTTCCAGGGTCTCCTTACTGGAGGACATAATTCACTCAACACACCTGTTAGTGCCAGAGTCCTGGCCTCTGTCACCAAGAACCCAAGGGATGGATCTGGGAGTGAGCTCAGTGGGTGGAGTACCTATGTTGCAGGCATAAGGACCAGAGCTGGACCCTTGGTGCCCATGTAATAGGCAGGTGCAGTCTGTGTGGATAACATCAAAGCTGGGGAGGAGGACCCTCAGGCTGGCCAGACAGCCGGTCTAGCCCAATTGGTGTATTCCAAGGTCAATAAGAGACCATCTATGAATGAATGAATGAATGAATGAGATGATGTAAGATAAGATAAGATAAGAAGGCTGGTAAAATGGCTCAGCAGACAAGGGTCTTTGCCACCAAATCTGATGACCAGAGTTCAATCCCTGGGAACCCACAAGGTGGAAGGAAGAACTGACTTCTACGAGTTGTCTTCCCATCTACACACACACTATGCCATAGGCACCCACACACAGATGAACAGCCCAACCTGAGCTCCAACACCCCATGCAGCCAAGGATGACCTTGAACTTCTGATCTTGCTTCCACTCCCAAATGCTGGGGTTACAGGTGTGCACCACCATGCCCAGTTTGGAGATGCTGGGGATGGAACCCAGGGTCTCGTGTGTGGTAGGCAAAGACTCTACCAACTAAGCTGCATCCCCGGCTCTTGGATGTCCTTATTTCTGAGGAGTTCTTGAGGCCAGAAATCCAGCTGAGACACTCATCAATGGCAGGACTCTAGTAGGGATGGACATGGGACTAGAGATGGCAACAAGCACAAGCAAAGAGACTGCGGGAAGCAAGGGGTGGGGAGGGCTGGGGCAGCCCTCCCTCATGCCCTCTGTCCTGGCAGGAGCGGGACAGGTAGCTCAGTGGGTAAGAACATGTACTGCTCTTACAGAGGACCCAAGTCAATCCCAGCACATGCACGGGTGGCTCACAACTGCCTGTAAGTCCAGCTCTGGAGGACAGGTCTCCCTACACACCAGACATATTCATTTAATTAAAAGTAAAATGCTTTCTAAACACTGTGTTGGATCCAAAGGACAGGGATCGTATCTGTCACACATACCTGGAAAGGTCACATAACCCATTCCAGAGAAGGTCATAAGCAGGGGCTGGGGAGGTAGCTCAGCCGATAAAGTGCTTGCAGCCCACCTTCAAGGGCCTAAGTTCAAGCCCCAGAACCCATGTAAAAAGTCAGGCATGGTGAGGTACAACTGTTACCCAATGCCAAGAGTTGCTCTCTAACCAGCACACCCAAGTAGAGAGCCCCAGGTCCCAGTGAGAGACTCTGTCTCCAAAAACAAAGTAGACAGTTCTTGAGAAATGGCCCAAGATTGAACTCTGACCTTCACATGTAGACACACACACACATACACACACACACATAAACACACAAAAGAGATGGCTGGTATTCCCACTCCCCCACCCAGTTGAACATTGTGTGTGTGTGTGTGTGTGTGTGTGTGTGTGTGTGTGTGTGTGTGTGAACATGTGTGTCCTGTGGCCTATTGTGGGGGTCTGAAAACAACTTTCAGGAGTTGGTTCTCTCCTTCCACCTGTGTGTTCATCAGACTGGGCAGCAAGTGCCTTTACCTCCTGAGCCATCTCGTTGACCTCTTTGCTATGATGGAGGAAGAAGGTGAAATTCAGGGCCCCCTGTCTGGTCTAGGGTCTCCCATTCTCACCCTCTCACATCTGGCGCCTGCTCTCCCACTCTTACAGCCCTGTGCACAGGGCTTTGGGAAAGACTTCAGGTGAAGGGCAAGGTAGACAAAATCATAGCACAGCTGCACTGTGATGGGAACAGCAAAGTGAGCCAGCGGTGACTCAGATTAGGACACACACACAAGAGTCTTGATCCCATGTGAAGAAGCCAGGGAGAAAGAATGGTGACTCGGGCACCCCAGAAACCCTGTGGTAAATTCCATTAGAGTTTTATCACCTTGTCTGCTTGACCTCTGGGACCTCAGCTACACACAAAACTCCCACTGACCCTAGTCACCGTCTCTCTGGCCATCTGCCTGGCTCAGTGGGAATTCAATAGAAAAGTCAAGTTCAGGGCCTGGGTACATAGCTGGTTGCCAGAACTCTTGCCAAGCATGCAGGAAACCCTGGGTCTATTCCAGCCCCACATAAACCAGACATGGTAGTGCATGCCTGTAATCCCAGCAACTGATGGGTAGAAGCAGAAGGACTGATTGTCCAGGGCTCTCTTTGTCTGTATGGTGAGTTTGAGGACAGCTGGGATACAAGAGACACTGTCTAAAAACAAACAAAACAAACAAACAAACAAAAAACAGTGTAGATAGAACCGGAGACAGCTCAGTGGTCAAGAGGACCCAAGTTTAATTCCCAGTGCCCTATTTGGGGCATCCCACGCCATCTTCAGGCCTTTTCAGGCACCTGTCATAATGTGCACACACATACATAAATCCTAAAAACATATCTTTCTTTAAGACAAGATCCCACTGTGTAGCTCTGGCTACCTGGAACTCATTATATAGATCACACTGGTCTTGAACTCACAGAAAGTTACCTGCCTCTGCTTCCCAGATCCTTGTACCACCATACCCAACCAAAAATAAATCTTAAAAAAAAAAGGCATGTCCATGTCCACAGCTAGAACACAACAAGAACATCCATTTCAATCGGCAGAAGGTTCCAGAAAAAGCAGAGCTACAACATGAAAACTCATAAAGAGGGGGTAAGATAGGAACTAGGGTGTTACTCAATAGCAGAACACTTCTCTATCTAGCAAATCTGTACTCTGTGTTCCATCCCTAGAGACAGAGACAGAATGGTAGTTCTCTAGAACACCATGGCCAAGTCAATTCTCATGAAAGAAAGCATTTAATTGGAGCTTGCTTACAGTTTCAGAGGCTTAGACTGTTATCATTGTGGTGGGGATCGTGGCACTGGAGCAGCAGCTGAGAGCTACACCCTGATCTGCAGGCAGAGAAGACGGACTGGACTCTTTAATAACACACTTGACATGCAAACACAAGGACCTGAGTTCAGATCCCTATCACTCATGTAAAAGGCTGGGTGTGGTGGCCCACATCTGTAATTCCAGTATTGAGGGGGCAGCTCACTGCTCAGGCAACTTGGCTGAATCAGTGAGAGACCCTCTCCTCCAAAACAAAGTGAAAAATCCAGCCTCATGTTTGTTGTTTGAGATAGGGTCTCTCTGCATAGCCCTAGCTATACTGAAACTCACTATGTAGACCAGCCTGGTACAGTCTAGAAATGATACAGTCTAGGGGTCTTAATGGGGTTTGTTTTTTCTGCCACTTAAAGAATTAAAAGACAGGGAAAAGATAGGCTCCAAAGCTACACAGAGAAACCCTTTCTCCAAAAATCAAAAAAAAAAAAAAAAAAAAAGGAAAAAAAACAGAAATGCAACGGCAGCAGCAGAGAGTTCTCAAGTGCCACAGATAGAACCAACAGATAAAGAAAGGT